CATTACAGAATAAAATCTTGTTTTGCATTCAATGACGTGTTATAGGTGCAAGGAGGAGCTTAAACCTGTTGGGTCTGATGCCTTCGGCCTATCCCTTCTCTCCCCTGTCATACATTCAGACAATCTAAACTTGTGAACTTGATTTTTACATCATCTTTCTGTTGAAGCTTCTAAGTGGTTAGAAATGAGTCGCAAAATACATTCCAGTATAATTTATATGAGTTGTTACACAAAACTTCAAATACCATGCACCAAACCTCTTTTATTTATATATTTTTTTAAACTTTATTTTTAATCGTTTGTTGTTGTTTTTTTTGCAATTAACAAAAAACAGAACATTACAGCCCAAAACAATCAGAGCATCTAGTATCAACAAAAGGACACTACATCTATAAAAAAAAAACTACAAAAAATACAGACCAGTACAAAACAACCGAGTAAGTGAGCGTGGCAAACATGTGGTAGGTGTTACATTACAATATCTTCTGGTTTAGATAAAGAACCCATTTAGCCCAATATTTCTCGCACTTATCAACAGCCAGTCTTAATGAGAAAGTCAGTCTTTCCTTAATGCAGATTTCCTTGATAATATCCTTCCAGTCCAGTATCGATGGAGGATCTGCACATAACTATTTGCGGGTTATGGCTTTTTTCGCACCTGCCAATAATATTAGTAGGAGGTATCTGTCCGATTTCCTCAGTCATTGGGGTAGATTACATAAGTAGGATACAGTGGAATCAAACGCTAAGTTCAGGCCCATGATAGTGTTAATTTCTCTCATGACTTCTGTCCAGTAGGGTGCGATCTTGGTACAGTCCCAGAAGATTTGCAAATATCCCGCTGACGTACTCCCACAGTTCATCCAGCACTGAGCCATGTCAGGGTCTTTACATTGTTTGCTCTTAATACTGGGTGTAATAAAAAATCGTACCATGTTCTTCCATGAGAATTCTTGCCATAAACCTGAGCTGGAAGTAACCATGACAGCATTACATATATTTAACCAGTCTTCATCAGATATTGATATTTTTCCTTCTTTTCCCCATCTAGCCTTAATGTATGTTGTATGAGAATTTCTTCCCACTTGTAAACATGAGTATAGTCTGGATATCTGTTTCTTTGGAGCATTTCCTTTACATGAATTCAGAAGAATATTGACTAGGCCCAGGTCCTCCTCTCCTACAAACTTTATATTTCTGTCATAGTGGTGTCTTAACTGGAGGTACCTGAAAAAGTCGTTTTTCCAAATTATAAATTTGCTGGTAATCTTTTAGTACATTCCTGTCTGAAATCTTCCAGTAACCCGTTAAGCCCTTATGTGACCATTGTGTGAATCTCTTATCTATATTTGCAGGTAGAAAATTTGTGTCGTATGCTGGCCACCGCAGAATGCGGGCACTTCTTTCAATTTTATCGTCTTTAAAACCAACCTCTTTTAAATGCACACTGTGCAACTTTTGTTGTTTGTTTTTTTTTAATCTTTATTAATTCTAAAGGAAAGTATAATTTCCAAAAACTTAGGCCACTACATCGCAAGATTAATTACATTTTAAACAAGCTGGACAAGTAAGCCGTTATCTTATATCAGTCTAAATAAACTTACAACCTCACTTCCAGAAAAAGATTATATAGCAAGAGGTAAAGAGTGTGAAAGATGAAACTGTTAGATTCAAAATTGTGAGTTCATATAGGACAAAAAATGAATTATACAGAGAAAGGGATTTTCAAACAAAGCTCCCT